CCCGGGTTGGGGTACTGGGGGTTGAAGGTATACAGAACCCTCTCCAGCTTAAGGATAATAATAGTGGTTGAGTACAAAAGGCAGGAGGTAGTGACAGCATGTGTATTGCCCACACTGCTTGAGAAGTATCATTTCTAGGTGGGTTAATAATGATCAAAAGCCTCACCCCTCACAGCTGGTAACTGTCTAAGGCTGTGTTAGAACTAGGTTTCAGGCACAGAGTACATACTACTGCCCTTAAAGTCCTGAGAGCTACCATTTCTGAGTTAGCCAGAGGCTGTGGTGCAGTAAATCCAGAAGCTGTCACTCCTGTGATACGTTCCCTCTACTTTCCATCAAGTGCTGCTGACTTTCATGCCCACAAAACTGCTTTTGTAAAGCAGTGCAAAGGTCCATGGCTTCCATGATCCATTTTACATTGGCCACGTGATTTATGAGCAGAAATCTTGTAAAAATGGAATTTCAGCTGCACTTCTTTCACTGACAGGTTGGCAAACATCTTATAAATCACAATGCTAGTGCCAAAATCCCTGCCAGTGATCAACAGATTTTATCAAGCTTTGATAGCCTCCAAAACCAAGTTCCACACAGTCTTGTGCTAATTTATTATTAACTTGCTATTAGAAAATGCCATTGAACGAACAATATTTGGTACAATGCCAAGTACACAAAACATCTGCAACACCTGTAAATAAATTCTATCTTGGGATAATCTAAAAATACATATTTCTTCTTGTATCCTGGGAAGAATGGGGAAAGTAGCTTGATTATAAAACCACCACAAATCCTGTGCACCATGTAATCAGTCTCATTTTATGCACTGACTTTCTTCACATCCGTGCAAATAAAGCCATTGTTACAACACAAAAAGAGCTGTGGCATATAATACATGCAGATATGAAACCATGAGTGCTGCTACATATTGAGTCTTTAAATGGAAGGTGGCACATCTGCTTTTGGCATAGGAGTGTAAATCAATCCAAGATGTTTATTAAAGAGTAACAACCTGTCCACACGCTCTTTCTTCCAACCAGCCTTGTTTTTGTTCTTGCTTTGTTATTTTCCTGGCAGTTAAATACAGGCTCTGCACATTGAAAGTATGTGTTGTTTCTTCGCATACGGATAACATAACATGTCACATAATATTTAACAAGTATGAGATGGGGAATGGTTTGGACAAAAACGCAAGCCAAAATGAGGTGGGGAGGAAAGGGTAAGTACAAGCAGCTACACCACAGTGGCTGAAAGGTTTATTACTGTGGGTAAGGCAACTATATTTCCTAATACTTTTCAAATGAATAATAAGACCTAGATTGGATTTCATGTTCTAGCTCTTGGCAATTAAGTGAGCAACATTTGCAACAGTGAAGGATGGTGAATATTTTCTTCCTCATCAATCAAAGACATGAGCAAGCACTAAAGAATGGAGTAGTCAATATGGCTTGACTTTGTATTTACTGAAGGTATGTATACCTTCCACAACCGGGTCTGCCTGGGCAGGACTGGTAGGAGCCTAAGACTTTCAGCACTTTCATGGGTTGACCAGCAGGAAAGACAACACAATATTGGCACTAGTCAATATTGGCACTGGTGGTTGGCCCTTTCTGGAGCAACTGCTGATGTATTTGGCTCAGTTTGTAACATGTTCCTCTCCCACTGACCGGGGAGCTCTAGGGTCTGCTGTATGAACAGCAGTCCAAGGACAACAATACCTTTTGTGGGCAGTCTTTTTCATGGGCTACCTGCATGAAGCAGCACTTAAGAGACGGGAAACCGCGAAGAAGGCAGTGGCTCTAGGCCTGAGGGTAGAGCCTGGGACATGCAGTGCTCCTTCCTCTTCCACCAAAGGATGCACAGGAACGTGTCCTAGGATGCCTGGGGAGAGGGACTCCCCCACAGCTAAGCAGGAGGGAGCAACCCATTCTGTGTACCAGTGAAGGGCCTACTTTGTAGCATGCTTTTTAGTAACCACGGGTAGAAAGAAAATACCATGGATGTGGTCTTCTTGACTTCCAGGTGGGGAGGTGATAAGAAAGTGATGCTATTCTTCGTGTGCATTTTGGAAACAAGACACATCCTCTCTGACACCAAAGAGCTCACCCATTAGAAAGACAACCTCTCTTTTGTATGCTGGCAGTGGAAAAACAAAGTGCTTTCCTGGCTCATTTTTAAGAGACGAGGTTGGAAAACAGACTGGTTGACACATAATGGTTCAGGAAGGCTCATTGTGCAGAACTGGGGATGGTTGTGAGAAAGCTTCAACAGAGAGGTCCATGCTGGGCAGGGAATAGAGGCTGCTGGAAGTGTGCCACCCAGTGTTTTATACTTGCACATTTAATTGACTAGACTGACCTCCAAATATCTTCTGTAATTGTTCATTTCTTCTTTGTTAAAATGGTCAGGATATATTCAAAGGCCAGATTCCATATACATATGTTTCAGTGATAATGTTACCTATCAATCAGCTCTGTCCCAAAAGTAGCAAAGATTGCTGTAAATTTGTTAATTGGGTCTCTTTTCATCTGTAGCTGAAACATAGCTGCACAAGAGACCCAGGTGGATTTGCTCAGCAACACAGAACATGCCAGGACAGAATTTATACAGCAGTAACATTGCAGGCTAGAATTATCTTGATCAGAGTTGTTACAGCATCCTGTTATAATATTCTAGCCAGGGAAAAAATATTAATTAAATTAAATCAAAATACTTGGTAGATCCGAAAAGTAAAAAAAGAAAAAAAGCCAGTAATACTTTCTCCCATTTATTCCACACGCTCTTAAGTTTCTCCTTTTCTTCTATTTTCTTCTATTTTCTTTTATTCCACATGCCTGACAATGGGACTCTGTGGAACTGAACCTTTTGCAAGTTGCTGGTGCCAGCTTTTTGCAGAGTGCCTCGGACAGGTCTCTTAATTTCCATTTAATTTTGTCTTTCCATGGCTGACACATATTGTTATTTAAATGAATGCTTTTGAACTCAGATTTTTTTAATGCAAATGTGTGCTGCTTCCCTATTGAATTGAAAACATCAACACTTTTTTCCCCTGTGAAAAGTAGAATAAAGAGCAATATTCTCAGGGCTGAAGGTGGGTTGGGATGTTACTTTTTTGTGAATTTAAGTTAAAAAAGGAAGACACATACATGGTGAAGTATCAAAATATTGGCTAAATCCTCCTTCTACCCAAGATATGATTAAAGCAGTATTATATCTTTTAAAGAACAGGTGAGGTAGGGAAGGTGCCAGGACACAGCAGGCTGGCCACACTACCTCAAGGCATTCTGTATAAGACATTTAGGGGAGTACACACAGAAGTGAGAGACACTACATGCCTCCAGTAATTTTAAGGTGCTCTATCCCGTCCTTCCTTTTGATGGCCATGACTCATTTTAGTTTGAAAGTAGATGCCCTCTCATTTTAATTTTTTGGAAGCTGTTTACCAGGAACCATACGCTGAACTTACAGAAATCTTACAGGGGAGTAATGGGGAAGAAGGAAAAAAATAACAAATCCTTGGTTCCCTTTAGAGAATAGTGCATTCATATCTCCAGGCTTTTCTTTTACCTACAATGTCTAGAAACGTACTTTTTAACAAAAGGTGAACATGGAAGTTCTCCAGTAATCACATGCCTCCTGGAGCTGGAGCTTTCTGCTCATCAAATATTACAAGATATGCAAAAAAAACACATCCCACGCCCCCAGCATCAAAAGGGTTGGCAACACCTGAGCTACATCCATACCCGATCTCTGCCAGACCAAGAGGTGTGTGACACTGAAGCATGTGGACTGTCTCACCCCTTTTCCCATTGGACAAACATCCATCTCGCAGCAAAAAATGCCACAGTCCGTGCCCACTAGCACCCATGCCAGCAATATTAGCAAACAGACCTCAGAGACTGAGCACCCCTTTTAACCACAGAGGTCGTCGTTTTCTTTCGGTCTCAGTAGTTGTTGTTCCAGCCCAGGCTTTCTACATGTTACTTCTGGACTACTGAAAACTTGAAGTGCTGCTTCCCCTGCAATACCAAATTTATGGATGAGGAGACAACTTCAGTCTGCCAGGTGATAATTTGGCATCCTTATGTCAGTGTTAAAATCCCTACAGCTGTAAATATTTATTGAAAATGAAATATACTCATGTATTCCAGCTAGCACATTACCATATGAATAAATCTAACCTTAAATAAATCATGAGCACTCCATCTTTTATTCAGTTTATAAAATTCTTACTTCTTGCTGTGAGCATTCTTAGCTTAATACAGCTATTCAGAAGTAGAGCGATTCATGGTGTGCCTTGATTTATTTTATAATACAACATTTTGCTGCTTATATTTCACCTCTTATAGGTTTTGCAAAGTTTTGATTTGATAGGACAAGAACAGTGAGGGCATTAGGACCAAGAGAAAGACGCACACATTGCTCTGTATTATGTCTGGCAAAGTGCTTCCTGACTGAGTGCCGTAGTTACGTGTGAAACAAACTCAGGGACCGACTAGTTCTCATCTGTTGATCACAGTTAACTTGAAGCCTCTGAACGGGGGAGAGCTGTCAGATCTGCTTTCAGAGATAAGGCGCTTCAATCCAGGAGCAACTGGAAACTTTGAAGAAGCCGGAACTATTCTGGAAGAAAACTATAAGAAATGGAATTTCTTTTTACTTAGAATTTAAAAAGGAAAAAATCAAAACTTTAGCTACTCTTTACATCAGCTAAACATGTGCTTTCCTAACTAAGCTGGGACTCTGTATAATAAAGGATCTACTTTATCTCACTGGATCCATGCTGCCTTTTACTACAGTAAGTGCAACATTAATAGGAATGTTATACTTTGTCTGTAAATAGAGAGGAAAGCATGAAACGGCATCAGTGAAATGTGAGGGGAGCAAAAAAAATCCTCTTGGCAGATAGTGAAAACCAGGGCTTTGCTGCAACCCGAGGACTGGAGTCTGAGAAAGATCCAAGTGATATTTAACATGACCATCTGTATCGTTTTGTCACCAACAGTATGTTCTTGAGGAAGAAGTGCAGATATGGATCACGTAAGCTGCAGTTTCTCTTGTTGTTGCTGATGCTGGGCTTTTTGCTATTGATGGTTACAATGCTGAATCCACCACCCAGCAGCCAGAGCAAGGAAGGGACTTTCCAGCCTGTGGAGTTCAACCCCCGGGAAGGGTATCAGATGGACTTTGCAGAGACCCAAGAGATGCTGGAGACCCAGGAGAGCCAGCAGTATTACCCTTTGGATGGGCTATCACCTTTCATCTCCCTGCGGGAGGATGAGTTGATCGTGGCCGTTGTGTCGCCCACCGGCAAAAGGAACCACAGCAAGGCCAGGAAGGGCTATCGCGTGGTGAAGCAGCAGAGCAGGCGGCCAGAGGCGAAGGCAGAGGGGGACCCGGAGTCCCAGCTCCTGTCCCTTCCTCTGCAGGCTGGGGAAGGGGCTGCTGCGGGGGAGCGGCCGCTCGGCCTGGAAACCCATGGCTTTAACGAAGCGCTCAGTGAGCGGATCTCTCTGCGCAGGGAGCTGCCTGAGGTACGACACCCGTTGTAAGTAAAACAGCCTATTTAATCTCCGGGAGAAAACTTGTCTCTTTCCCCGTCGCCGTCCCCCCGCGAACCTCTCCTCCTCTAAACCCCGCGGCTTTCAAACTCTCCCCTCCGGTTCGGGATAACTGTTTTCCCCACGCTGTGTGAGGAACGCATCCCCCTTCCTCAGAGCCAGGT